AGCAAGTACATTGTCTAGGTAGTTGGGATCAGGGTAGCCGTGGCCCGTGAGATTGGACCCAAATTCCGTCTTGTGGTGAATCTCATTCCAGATGACTGTATCCGATTCCCCAGTGGTGCTTGAAGTGCCTATGGCAAAGATCAGCCTTCGATCCCAGGCCACCAACAGCAGTTTCAGCACCTGCCAGAGGAAATGGACACATATTAGAAGAGTTGAGTGTCCAAATGAGAAGGGGCTTAGATCAGAGGTCCCCAACCTTTTGGGCACCAGGGACTGGTTCCGTGGAGAGAGGTTTTTCCGTGGACCGGAGGGTGAGTGGTTTTGTGTGCTGCTGGCATCTCGTGGATGGGGCTTTGTTTGTTTGTGCGGCCCAGTTGCTGGCATGCCGTGGCCCGGTACTGGTCTACGGACTGGGGGTTGGGGACCCCTGGCTTTAGATCACACAAGCAAAATCACTTCTGATTTTTTTTTCCACTGATGTTCTTGCAAAGATTTGGATTCTGGTGCAAATCTACCCAATGGATATGAATAAACTCCACATCTGTACAATTGAAGTAACATTACAAGCACTAATAGAGGCTCCAAAGCATTTACTGCTTCAAACTTTCTTCCAGTATTTTACACAGAAAGGAGGGGTTTTTCCCCCCTCTTCCAAAAGGGGAATACTCTTGATAACATCAAGCACATTGAAAGGAGCATTCAATAGGGAAGATGTTGGATTAAGATCAAGGAGACCGTGACATTTACTGACTGGCTTTGAATTATTTACTCTCTCTTATTTTGAGGATAAAACTGGGAAGGCTACGGAGAAGAAAAAGAATCCCATATGACTCCTTGAGCAATAATAGGAACATGCGTGAAACTTCAAGCCAACTCTCCCTAGGCCAGTGGTGGCGAACCTATGGCACGCGTGCCAGAGGCGGCACTCGGAGCCCTCTCTATGGGCACACGCATCGTCGCCCCAGCCCCACCTCCTCCCACGGCCCCCTCCTCCCCAGCAGCCCTCCAGAGGAGAATCGCCCCCGGGCACGGCCCACGCAATGCTGCATAGCCAAGAACATGGTAGCGGGGCAGTGGGGACAAGACTCTAGCCTTGCACCCCATCATATGCAGATGATGCTGCAGGGCGCGGGTGGAGGGCGTGGACACCATGGAGCTGCTGGGCTGCCTGGGTGATCTATGGCGGGCTATGGAAGTGGTGGGTGGTCCAGCGGGCACAGCGGAGCGGGGACAGGGGTGGTGGTGGGGTTTTTGGGCACTCGATCTCTAAAAGGTTCGCCATCACTGCCCTAGGCAAATTGGATCCTTTTCCCCAATGCTAAGAAATAATTACTCTCAGTTGTGCCTGGGAGGGGGATACATGTGTGCAAAGGGTTGAACTGCAATTTCCATCACCTTCAACTACTCCATTGGTTAGAAACAACTAGAACACTACAACCCTTCTTTTCTTTCTAGGCCTCTATTTCCTTCGTAGAATCCAAAGCAACATAAGCTATCATTGTGTAAGTTGCTCGGAAGAAACTCTCCGATGTCAGTCAATAACAAACTCGTGCCTTAGACAGGATACGCTGTTTTTGGTAACTAGATCTAGTTCCAGAGACACATTTTTATATTTATTATAATATTAAGGTGGCATTCTACCTTTCTGCCTCTTTCACTGTCTGGGAGGTAGCAGTGTCGAGGAAAACCCCGGGCAGTAAAACTCTTCCCAGGACTCGGGTGCTCTGGTCCCTAGAAAGAACAGGAAATAATTATTACTTCTAGGTAAAAGACAATGCACATCCAACTGAGACAACTATCATACAAATTAACTAAAATCCCTTTTTAGATGGGTCTAAAGAAAATTCAGCTTCAGCAGAGGGCACTATCTCACTGGGACTGTAAAGGCTGAGAACTGAGTTGGCTTGGGGCTACGTGGACTGGAGACTTCTAATCAATACTTCGGCTAGCTCAGGGGTAGGCAACCTTGGCTCTTTTATGACTCGTGGACTTCAACTCCCAGAATTCCTGAGCCAGCCAAGCTGGCTCAGGAATTCTGGGAGTTGAAGTCCACGAGTCATAAAAGAGCCAAGGTTGCCTACCCCTGAGCTAGCCTGAGAAACCAAAATCATCTTGCAAGAAGCTGGTGGCTAAAGGTTTCTATATTGCTTCCCAGAAAACTGAAAGATATGACCATGAGGTCACCAGAAGTAGTTTGAAGGAGGCTTCACTTTTTACAGAAGGTTTACAGGAGCAGGATAAAAAAAACCCCAGCTAAAATCTAAATACTGCATTGCCCACTACGGTCTTAGTTGCAAATACACTCCTCTTAAGACCCCTACCTAGGAATCTCACCTGTATTCCTGGTGGAATGTTGTAGATTATTCGGATAGTTTTACAGTCAAGGTGTCCCGGCAGTGAATGCGGGATGAGGTGATATTCCATTTTTCCAGGAGGCTGGGTGCCAGTCTTCACCCCATAGATGGTTTTGCAGGTTGGACACTGCAAGCTCCCATCCTAAAAGAAAAGAATGTAAATAATAACACCAGCACAGAATAAAAAGAAAATCATCAAGATGATATTAAGTAATTATGCTACTAACATCGTAAAACCGCTTAAGTGGTAAAGGAGTAATAGATAAGATCTCACTGTCCAGAATGCTTCATAACTTCATACATACTCAAATTAAGAAAAAAAAACAGAAGTAGATTAAGGAAGATTGAAGACAAAGTCTGTCCTCTCTTAATTTGCATATTTAGCCCCTCTAGGCATTTTATTCAAATCACACATGTTAAGTTCTTCCAACCATAGTTTGCAGTGTTAAGCATAGAGTCAAGCTTTTTAAAATGTAACATGAGAATATTTATTACTTTTAATAAGCAGTAAGAGAACTGAATTTTTTAAAGGAGAGAAAAGATGTTGCTTCAATAGTTAAGTCCACAATTTTATCACAGGTTCAAGCAATGTTTTGAACTCAGTTGACAAGGAAAGCCTCTTTCTTAGCCCAGGGAACAGCAGTGAATCTGCTAAACCACTGGAAATACTATTAAATGGCGTGAATTTAAATGGACTCCAGAAGATGGTAGAGGACAGGAAGGCCTGGAGGAACGTTGTCCATGGGGTCGCGATGGGTCGGACACGACTTTGCAACTAACAACAACAGAGATGGGTGTCTTTCTGTCCATGGACCCCAAATGGCAGCTGGTGAATTCTCCCCTTTCAATTTAATTCTGAGTCAGGAAAAAAACCAGACTCTTCCATTAAATTATCAGTATTTGCCTTTGATTTGAGTAAATTATTGACTAGGCTCACTACAATAGATCTTAGCAGCAAACAAGCAAAAGCCATAATTTGATTCTTTTTCTAATTTGTTCCTCTTAAAATAAGATAAACCTTTATTGTCACTTTTTTTTGCGAACACATGGCACACATTAAAAAATGAAATTCCAATGCCTGCTCTCAATATGTGTGTGTGTATGTGTGTATGTGTATATATATATATATATTCTTTAGTCAAGAATAAAATAAGCCCAAGTCTGTGATTTGCAAGATACATTATACTATGGCCAAAACAAAATAAGTTTAATGTGGCATGTGATCCAACCCCCATGTATACGTGTTCGAAAACTGTGGTCTGATTGAAAGCACATCTGTAAAGGTATGTGTGTGGGGGGTGTTGTTTTGTTTTCTTAGTTAAGAGTTGATTCTTGTCTGTTTAAAATCATATTCCTGTACAAGCATTAGAAATGTAATTATATAAAATGATCAAGAAAGATTTGGCAATGTAGTTTAACAGGTATGGCCCCCTGAGGTAGCAAGCAAAAGCCAGATAACAGGGCATAAAAAGGTCAGGTCTTGTAAATGGAGCAATATTTTAGTACTTTATTGTAGAGAAGGAATGTAGATAAAGGGTGAAAGCAAAACTAAGGCACCAGCCTCAAGATCTGGATTTATGTGATTATTTTATTGTTAATATAGAATTAACAATAATTCTATTGTTAATGGGGGGAAGGGGGGAAGGGGATTAGGGGACTGAAATTATAAAAATTGATGTATTTATATGTTATAGGTAAATAATGACTGTATTGAAAAGAGGAGATGCTCGGCTGGACCCCAAACTGCACTCGAAGAGGCGGTTAAGAAGGGAGAGGGGATGTAGGTAGGTGGAAAGGAGGAAGGTGGAGAGGTTGTGGGCTAGAGGGAGGAAGGACAGGAAAGTGAATGAGGGTGGAGGCAAGGCGGGGACCGCCGAGCGTCTCCGAAAATGTACTGATTTGGATTATTTTTTATTGCTTGTGTATGTAAATGCATCATATTGGTATTTGTTGTGTAATTACAAAAATCAATAAAACTTTATTTAAAAAAAATATATAGAATTTTTTTTGGGGGGTTGTCCTCTCTAGGCAAATGCAATTAATTACTCATGACTGATAATGTATATTTTTCTCTACAATCTTTTGCAAATCTGTATTTGGTGTCTTGGTCTAGTTGGTTGGGAGTACAGTGATCACTGTTTCAGAATATTTTAAGAAAAAAAAACCAATTTTCTTTGATCTGTATTGCTTTCGTTCATTTTTCCATAGATAACTTTTTTCCATGACAATGGAAACAGAGGCCTTTTCATCCAATGGCTGTAAGTCAGCCAGTCTACAACTTCTAAGGGACATTCTGCCTAGACACTGCCATATAACCAGAGACTGAGAATTTTGTTTTCTCAAACAGTGCATTAATAATGAGATTTTTAGACTGACGTGCCATCATAGAATCATAACTCAGTTAAGAGGGGAAATCAAAATACTATTTAACAGATGGTGATCGTTAGAATTTCTAAGCACGAGGAAATACAGCCACCTGTGTGATCTTAGCCAATTCAGGGAACCAATATGTATTATACCTCTGTTGTTTTCTCAGTTAAAATACAGTAAAAATCAACAATACAATTAAATATGAGCAGCACAAAGACTTTTCCTACAGCATGTGCAACGTTTCCTAGAGGAAGTCAAATAAATTATGATATGTATTTCCCCTACAGCTTATGAATATAACAAATTGGATGTGTTGAAGCTCCAATTTGTCCCTTGTGACTTCCTCCACTTTAAATGCAGAACAAAACACCATGAATGGCATGAAATCACAGTATCCCCAAGAGACCGTTATTTTTAAATATGAAGACTGCTAGCTATTCAGCCTTGAATAGGGTCCACGATTTACCCAGTGTTTCCCCAGAGAATCCCAGGAACACACCTTATTTCCATTGTTATACATGGCCACAAGGCAATGGAGGTGATACATGTGACCACATTTGGACAGTTTGCCCACCAATTCTGGCTTGACGACTGGTTGAGGCCCTTTGTAGCCTGAGGGAGCAGAGAGGCGTTCCATGCAAATAGTACAGTCCTGAAGAGAAGCGGAAAATTGTTAGGTGAGAAAGCATCAGAATCTTGGTCTACAGATTAGGTTACATAGGTGTGAGTTGTTGCGGTCTTACTGATCTCCTTGGAAATAGATACATCTAAAGCAGGGATCTTCAAACTTGGCCCTTTTATGACTTGTGGACTTCAAGTTGAAGTCCACAAGTCATAAAAGGGCCAAGTTTGAAGACCCCTTATCTAAAGAAAGTATATCTGCCACAGCCATCCCCAACATTAAAATGAGAGGAAGCTACCCGTAGAAGTGAGGATATTGAATTGACCATCTAATTCAGTATTATCTGCCTGATTTGAAGTGGTTCTACTCTGGTCAGTCTCAGCAAAATTCCTCTACACATTTTGGCCTTCCCTGCATCTTCATTGTAAACCAAGGACAAACCGGGTTTCTCTGTATTTTATTAACCAAGCTTAATGGCTCCATGTTATGTGTGAATACAGTTAATGGTGGGTTCAAATCACATACTATACAAAGACCAAATTCACTGTGCTTAAGCTTAGTGCAATATAAATTTAGCCACTTTGGTATTCTGAGGAAATACCCACCAAAGAAATAAGCTACACAGCAATAGATAGTTAATCGGCATATTGTACCACTAATAGTTACAGTTTAATTTTTGCCCTGAAATCTGCATACTAAGCATATTGCTCTGCATCAACAAATATTTCACTACACTTTGGCGGCTTCATACACTTGCAGAAATAGACGCCCTATATAGAGAAAGCCAGACTTACCTCATCTGGAGGATGGCGTACCTTCTGCAGGTATTTTTTCAAGACTTCCTCTGTAGTTTTACCTAGACATCAAAACAAGAGAAGCAAACTGAATATCTCTTTCCTGATAGCCATCAAGAGAACGGAAGACAGGGCAGGAAATGGAAAGCAGGGAGGAAGGGAGCAAAGCTTCCTAGTGCTTTGTTACAAGTTTTGAGAGAACTACAAAAGAGAGAGAGAGAGAGAGAGAGGGAGGGAGGGAGGGTGGGTGGGTGGGTGAAAGAAGAGGGAGAGGGAGAGAGCAAATGCCATTCTGCAGCTTTGTGGAGCCTAGTTTTCTCCTCAGGCCTTTGGTTTTAATATAGGTAGGCCTTGACTTGTAATCACAACTGATGCAAAATTTCTGCTGCTAAACGAGATAGTTGTTAAACAAGTTTTGACCCATTTTACGACCTTTCTTGCCACCGTTATGAACTGAATCACCGCAGTTGTTAAGTTAATAACATGGTCATTAAGCGGTTCTGGCTTCCCCATTAACTTTGCTTGTCGGAAGGTGGCAAAAGGTGATCACATGATTCTAGGACACTGCAGCAATCGTAGATATGAGCCAGTTGCCAAGCCTCCAGATTTTGATCACGTGACCACGTGGATGCTGCAACAGTCATAAGTGTGAAAAATGATCATAAGTCACTTTTTTCAGTGCCGTTGTTAACTTCAAACGGTCACTAAATGAATGGTTGTAAGTCGAGGATTACCTGTACTGGATCAATTCAGATGTTACTAAGTCGGTTTGTGAAACATAACCATAGTCTGCCCAGACATTCAAACTATCAACTAATATTTCTGAACGGCAAACCAGAATCAGAAGCTATGGCTTGAAGTATATTGCATACCACCTTATTCTCTAAACTATGATACTAGGCAATCTTCTCCTTCCAGGTCAAAAGCACTTTGATGCACTACACCCAGATGAAGGCTCCTTTCGTGTCCCATGAAGTTGCTCACTGAAGTGGTACCCATTTATCTACTCGTGGTCACCCATTTTCAAACTGCTGGATTGACATGAGCTGGAGCATGTGATTGGAGCTCATCCTGCCCTGTGGCAGCAATGGGTCTTGAACGCAAGCCTGCTAATTGTCAGCCCAGCGTCCTAACCTTGTGCACCACCACACTCTTGTACTATTCTCATCAATGAATGTCAACTGAAGGTGCATCCCTCTGTAAGCCTGCATGATACATAGAGGCAGGCTAAGTAGAAAGAAAATAAAAACAGTCATAAAACTTTTGCTGCGGGCTTCTTAATTAAGCTTCCCAATAATCTAACCTACCTACAGCTCTGCTTTTGCTATGAACTAGCATGGTGGCAGGGTTCAGAAAGAACGTGCTTGTTTTAATTTTAAATAGGCTAACACCCATGTGTACATCTCTACAAAATTAAGAAACAACAACAATAAGAATGAATTTTAAATCATCATACCAACTTGCTCAGACTCCACAGTGAGTCAAAATTTACACCCTTCCCACGTATGGGAGAGCCAGTTTGTCTCTCCTTGTGATGTTGTAATATTCTTGAATGTGCCTCCAGATGAAAGGTGGCTGCAAACCAAAGTCAGGCTAAGCAGTTCCAAGTCTGACTCCTTTACATGATGGCCCTTATCCTTCTAGCCTTCCTCCTGCTTTCAGGAGTATAATTTTATGAAGGAGTATATAATACCCATAACCTTTGTGTGCCGCTGCACAGATGGATGAGTGATTGAATTCTGCACCGAGGAGATAGCAAAGCTTATAGAAGAATCTCTACTCAGTGCCCTGAGGAAAATGTGCCTTTGTCTTCAGTACATAAACAAACAGAGACTACAACAGATTAATCTGTCAAAAAAAAATTAACCCGTATCCTGTCTTAAGAACAGAAAATATCTTGGGGCAGAGCACAGACAATGGAATCTCGTAGAACAGGGACATGTGATGCTTTCATGGTTATGTTTTTGCTCACTTTTTTTATTTTTTTCTGGATATGAGGGGCATCTCATAGGTGGAACTACATCACCTAATTAGTCAGGGCCGCAATTTCTCACTTTTTACATTGTTCTCCAGCATCTGGGAAGAATTCTAACCTGACCAAGATTATTGCAGGAATGAACGACTTAAACTCTCAAGAGTTGCCTCAACTCTTTCTCTGTAGCCTTCAAAGCACTCTCCAACCACAGCAGCTGAAAACTGGTCTGCTATTTGAGGCAAACAATAATGCTCATGGGGTGAAGCAGAAGTCAAAAATAGATTTAGCAGTTAAAAACCAAAGAAAAACCCCAAAATCTGGGAAAAGAACCAGAAAAATGTGGCTCTAACTACATGTGCCACATCCCTCCACTTGTTTTATATCAGTCTACCCTTCCCCCATCCCAAGCTCTTCTTCTCCAACAAAGTATTATATGGACAACGGCTACTGAAAGGTTGCTCACCCATAGCTTTACAATATTAAAGGACATTGTACAACATTACTCCTCTAAAAGGTGAGACACTATATCACGGGCTTCATTATTCTGTTATCAAATGATATGAATCAAAGGTGGAACTTGAGTTGCATATTACCTACACATTACCCACTTCTATTCACCCTTATCCCTGATGCATGCAATTCTCTAGATAATTGATGAGACAACCGTACTCTGTATGTGCTCCCTTGAGAAAGATGGAAGGAAAGCAAAGAACAGGATGACCAGCAGCAAAGTGACAAGAATCAATTACAGCAGTGATGGGAAATCTGAAGGGCCAAGCTGGGGACAAATCATCCTGAAGGTCTAGCTACGTGATTGCTCAAGGCGGATAAGAAAGGCACTCACACAACTGACAGCAGACTATAGTGCAAAATTTAAGCTTCAGCTCTTTATCATGAAAGGAGCATGGTAAGTGTATCTGCCCTTGTGGCATTTTAACAAGGCTGGTGGTGAACTCGTGCGCTCACTCTAATGACTGTGATTCCATATTCTTTACAGACACACAAGGGACAACAGGCTTCTAAACATCTCTTTTATTCCACTGTCACCTGGAAGTAAGGCTTACTATTTGTCAAGCAGATGGGATGCACCTTGGAGAAAGGACAATTTAAAAAGGAAAAGCCACATACCAGAGAGAGTGTGAAATACATCATGCTCACTACAGCTGGCTGGGAAAGGATGAGGCAGTGGCGGATGTGTTCTGCTGGGAACATGTGTTAGGTAATGCAGAAGAGTGCTCTGGAAGGACACTGGTTGGATATCTGCCACTGTCCAACCATCAACGGATACAGCCACGCGTGTGGATGGGGTAGCAAAATGGAAGCGGGGAGGTGGCAGCGCAGGGAGAACAAAACTCTTTAGAACAGTGGTTCTCAACCTTTTTAATGCCGCGACCCCAACTGGTCATAAGTCGAGGACTAAACTGGTCGTAAGTCGAGGACTAAACCAGTCGTAAGTCGAGGACTAAACCGGTCGTAAGTCGAGGACTACCCAACCGGTCGTAAGTCGAGGACTTTCCCTGCCCGGGAGCGCCGCGCATGCGTGGTTCTGCCCCCTGCGCCGGCCGAGGCGTAGCTGGCAAGTGGCAGAGACGGAGCAGGCCGACCACCAGCTGGCCCAGCCCAAGGGAGGTAAGGCACCCGCCGGAAAAGGGGAAAAAAATGGCAGACAAAAAAAAATGGCGGATAAAAAAATGGCGGACAGCCTTGCTTGGCGACCCCCATGAAATGGTCGATCGACCCCAAATGGGGTCCCGACCCAAGGTTGAGAACCACTGCTTTAGAACAATGTCTGAGTGATAGTTACAAGAAACCAGGAGAGAAGAGAAGAGAAGAAAGGTCCGTAGACCGAGGCCTGCAAAGACAGGAATATACTATCATCCTCCAGAAGTAGCCAGCCAAAAATAATAAGAGAATCAAAACACCTGTTATCCCTCTGCCAAAAGTCATAAGCAGCCAGGGACACACTAAGGCAGAAAAGGAAGATGCAGGTGTTTACCCAGCAAGCTTAACCTGTTTTTTTTTTTTCCCAAGGTACAGCTGGCGCCTCAAACGATCTTTCAGTTTCTAACTTCAGTCAGCACAAAATCTGGTTTGGTATGATGTCTAAGTTACCATGTACATTCTCTTTATGGGTTTGCATATTTTGGACACCCGCCCCTTCCAGTTATGCAATTCTAATGAGGTGAGGCAATAGGAAGAAGCAGAGAAGCTCTCGTTCTTACCTTTCTTGGTCTGCTTTTTGGTAGTCTTACGGCAGGTATTGGCGATGCCAGGGATGGATTTAATGTCACTCTTGCTGACAGGAGGAGGGTGCAGAACCAGCTTTGGAGGCCGAGTCAGACAGACAGGGAGCCCTGCAGCACTCATAAGTATCCCTGTGATTCCTGACAGGAGAGGAAGACAGCACAAGCATTTATAGACAGCCTCTTTCTTGCTTTATATCTGCTTTACACTTATGGGCTAGGATCTTGTTTCATCTGTGCGGTTATTGCCCATTTATACAGGGTTATAGCAGACTGGTTCTTTGCCGGTTCCAATTTTTACAAGGCTTTAAAGGAAATCAGAAAACTAGACAACCATTTACAATGTCATATCCTCTTCATATGTTCGACTAATATGCCATGCTGGTCTCAGGGTTTGGGACTCCAACTTATTTGAAAGGCATTAATGTTGAGGTTTTTAAAATCCAAACTTCTAAAACGTGCACAATCATTATCACGCACACAGTTAAAATGAGCATTTTTTTTTCTCTTTTAAAGTTCCACTCCCTCCCTATGGCACGTGTACAGTACACTAGTTTCCCCAAAACTTCTACCTTTTAGAAGTGTTGCGCTGTATGACTCTATCTATCCCCAAGCAATGTGGGCATTGAACATCCCATCTTGTAGAACATCACTATCACCTTCCTTTATCTGTTCCTCAACACGACTTGTATCTTCATTCATGTACTGCTCAATGTTCCTCTTCCACTTTTTTGAATGAATACAAAGAATTGGCTCCCAATTCTTGGGAAAACCCTGCTGAAGTCAGGGTTTCAAAATACCTTCCTGCTTAAGCGTCCCTTGCTTAGGTCAATCAAGAGCTATTAATGGTAATTCTGGTCCCACCAGATTTTTGGTTCTCTTACCTGCTAGGGCAGGGTTGACTGGGCTTGAGCCATTGAGGTTTTTTACAGGAACTGTAGGGACTCTATGATAGAATAAAACACAGGTTATTAGAGGCGGCTGGAAAATGAACCTGCATCTCTGTAAAAAAACCTAAGCATACATGGGAAGAAAACTGTGAACAAGCGTCAAAGCAAATCTTGGATTCTCTGAAGGATGGAGCTGGTGATGGAGTATGAGAAAAGAGAGGAATCCATTATATCCTATATATGCTATATGGAGGAGGGAGAGAAGTTTTTGTGTATTCTTTGATCCCTGGACATTTTTCTTTAACATCCTAAAAGGTACCAAGTCTAGACCAATCTAGCATGACAGATTACAACTCTGCCTTTGGTTGCTAGCAGCCTGAGACACAAACACTCTTCCTAGTTGAGCTAGGAGACCCAGTCTGAGAAAGATAAGCAAGCAAATGGATCTTGAAAGAAGGGTAGCTAACAGAGGCATAAGGACTGGTTTGGTCAATAGGCAAATCAGTGGTTGTGATAGGCATGTTATTCCTTAAAGGCATGTGTGTGCACAGGGATTGAGAAGATGGTTAGATGTATAAGGATAGCCTTATTCCAGTCATGATCATCTACCTGCCCAAATGAATTACAGGATGACTTGTAGGGACTGGCAGGCCACGGGAACAATAGGAAACAATCTTTTTTAGAAAATATTTTCAGGATAATTCTTCCTTCTAATCTTAATCTCAGTGCTGATTTTTTTCTAAGGCTATACTTTCTGCCTGAAGTTAGGATGGTATTATCTTAAAAAAACATCCAGGTGCCTACCAGAAATTTATACCAATTTGCCCATGAAGAGCTTTTTCATACATTTCATAGACTCAGTCACCACTCTGATGCAATTCTCCAACGCCCAAATTCTGCCCATGCATTGACAATTAGGCTGGCATAGGGACTAGAATCTGTGCATAGAGGAATTGACTGTCACCAGGCATGGACCTGGCCACCAAATCTGATGGTTTTAAAGGGTTAACTAGAAAAAATGCACGAAAGATCTTGTGAGTTCACTGAATCAAAATTGTTGGTCACTGTTAGACCCAAAATGTTTGAACTGATAGCAATAGCAATAAGCATTTAGACTTATATACCACTTCACAGTGCTTTACAGCCTTCTCTAAGCAGTTTCTAGAGTCAGCATATTGCCCCCAACAATCCGGCCCCTCATTTTACTGACCATGGAAAGGCTGAATCAACCTTGAGCCGGTGAGAATCGAACTGCCAAACTGCTGGCAGTCAGCAGTCAGTAGAAGCAGCCTGCAGTACTGCATTCTAACCACTGCACCATCTCAGATCCATTTTTACCTAATCTATATAAATAAAAATGTAAATGTTCGTTTGTTCAAAACCTTAAATCTCCGAAAGTTCTTCACCGATTGCTTTGAAATTTTGACACAACGTTGCATTCGAATACGCGCATGTTTTAATATACCTACTATTATATAGATGTCACACCTGTGACAGGTAAAAACATGCTTTTTTTGAAAAACAGCGCCATCTGTTGGACATAAAAGCAACACACGCTTTTACCAGACTGAGCCACAGCAACGCGTGGCTGGGTACAGCTAGTCTTGAATATACTTTGAGAATGCAAGAAGTGGCAGATAACCATGTCAACATGTACAAATGGATACAGAAGGAATATGCATTGAATAGCTTTCAAAAAAATAGTTTGGGGTTTCTTTCGGAGAAAGACATGAACAAGATTCCTTGTCCACTCAAGGTAGGGGGGAAAAAAACCCTGTAGCATGAAATGGGACCACATTATAAAAATTAATATCATAGATCCACAAAACCTTTAGAAAAATTCTCCTCGCCTTTGTATCATCCAGATAAATTGACTACAAACTTCTACAATTTGGTCAATCAGCTTGGGAAAAACCATTCTTAGAATGGGTCCACATACCATCTTTGGGGATCCTGTTTGCTCACCGCACCACATAAGCTTTCAGGCTTTAGTCTTATGGGACATCCTCAATTTAACTAGAAGCCATGTGCACCAATGATCTGACTAAGTCTGCCAGCTTTACAAGACCAGCAGAAACCAACCCAATCCATAGAAGCCTGCATGATACTGGGCTGTTCCGAGGCTTCTCTGACAAAACTTGACATCGGTTTTGGAACACAAGAAAGTATCCTATTCCAGGCACAAATTCCTGCTTTCAAAAGTGAACAATCTTCAATTTATTCCTGAGACAGAACTGCAGCAATTATCAAGGCCTCTGGAATAGGCATAGATGGAGGATATCTGAAAGGGCTAAGGTTTATAGACAAAGTGGGGCACCTTTTAAACTGGACAATAGTTGCTGTAGTTACAGATTAAGGAGCTAGCTGGAGACAGAGAATCCTCTAATCTGAAGAGAGAGGGCATGTCCCGCCCTCCCCATTCGCCTGCCTTCTCCTCATTCAGGCTCTTTAGAAATCTTGGTTGTGTCTCCCAGTTATTCACAGAGCCTTTTGTTCTGGGGAAGCATCGCCTTGGCCCCTTCCTCCCTTGCTCTCTTCCATGGGAAAGTCTTTGAGAAGGGTCATGGGCAGAGGGGGGAGCAACCAGCAACAGACGGCCGATGGCAAAATCGTACAAAAGAGAAGGAACACGCTAATTAGATGTCCAAGAAAGAGTGTTTTGGTCAAGGGAGGCCTAGCAGGAGGGGGATGCTGAGGATAGGGTACCTTCCAGACTGGGCAGCAGCTTGAAAAAAAATATTGTATGGGCCTTTTGATAGGAACCCACCCACCCCAGAGCTGAAGGGTAAAGAAGAAGAATGTTTCACTTCCTCATTAACATTCAAAAGGGGCTTTAAGGCTTCCCCGTTTTATGGTTCAAAGGGTCTGTGGGATTTGATGAACAGAGGAAGGGGGACTGATGGAGTAGCGTCAGTCAATGTCAGTCCCAGCTTTTCCTTAGGAATTTTCTATCCTGCTGGTATTTGGGCCGAGATATATTTACAAACAGCTTACTTCTGTTTAACCATCAAGAGTTTGTTGCTTTTCTTCAGAGCTTCCCAATATATCCTACTTTTCTGATTAAGTTCTGTCTCACAACATACTTGAGTTTCCTCAGTAACAAAATATCAAAAGCCACTTTTCTTTCTATTCCCAGAGCACCTGACATGTCATTCTTCAAAATTCTGCAATGTAGTCTTCAAACGAAATATCTCCACGGGCGGCTCCTCGTAAGCCTTGACAAAACTGAACCACACTTTATAATCCATGCAGTAGATTTCCTATGTTGAGATATTTAACTTAGAAACTGTCTGCATTACCTCCCTCAACACTGTCTCCAAATTTATTGTATTACCTATTACCTGCATATTTCCACAGTCACCCTAATCAATTAAATCAAGACAGCATCAAATTGGGAAAGGCCCATCTGCAATATCCCAGGAACAGAGGTGACCTTCCCATAGTCTAAATATGGATAATGGGAAAACAATACTGGGCACATACTGCATGCCTCCATGTGAGGAGGAGGAGGAGGGACACCAAGATGTAGTATTAGGAATGGTAAACAAGTACTTAAAGCCAGTTTGGTGCAGTGGTTAAGACACAGCTAGAAACAGGAGACTGTGGGTTCTAATCCTGCCTTAAGCACGAAGCTAACTGAATGATCTTGGGCCAGTCCTTCTCTCTCAGCCCTAGGAAGCAGACAATGGAAAACCACTTGCAAAAATCTTGCCAAGAAAACTGCAGGGACTATTTCAGACAGTTGCCTGGATTCAACACTGACTTGAAGGCACAAGTAACAACAAAAACGAATACTTACCCTGAGGCAATGAGCACACGGGACTGTGCGATGGCCAAGCGCTGCAGATTGGTTCGGTTCAATGTATTAAGGCTGGCGCGTGTCACTTTGCCATTGGCATTAGGAGGACTGGCAGGGGAATTGCTTGTGGTGAGGGCAGGGGTGCTAACTGCCTGCCTTCGGTTCACTTGAGATGCGAGGGTCTTCAAAGAGCTACGCATGGTGGCTGTTCCATCTTGTGGCCTGTGAACTGATGCTGGCGTGGGGATTTTGGCACTGCCAGAAAGGGAGACAGCTTTACGTGGTGGTGGAGGTTGAGGCTGCTGGCTAGCTGTAGCTCCAGTTCCTCCATGGCTCCCAGCTGCCACTGTTGCCTTTATGCTCATGACCAGAAGGCATTGTGGACAAGTGCAAGCAGGGGCAGGAGGCACATTGGCTGCACCAGGGCTTGCTGGCCACGACTGAGATTTGGGCAAGGTGCCTGTGACCAGTGGGTAGACCATGTCAAGGCGGCGGCGGACACGGCGCTTGCGTTGGGTCTGGCGATTGATCTGCCCCATCGTGCTGAAGTCAATGATGTAGCAGAAGCCAATGGAAGTGAGATCAATCCAGGGGTGCTGCTTCTCATAGGCATGTTGGATGGTAATGCCCACCTCCATGTCGTAGGGGGTCCAGGTGCCATTGTCGTTCTCCCACTCCCACACCACACCCTTGCCTGGGGCTGAGGAGGGGTCATAATAGCTGCGCCGCACTGGGCGAATGGTGCCTGCGAAGGGAGACATGGGAAAGTAATGTCCAAACAAAAAAGACATCAAAGAAGATAACATTAAACCAAGCATACTAGAAAATCACGCATAGGAAAGAAGCGTGCCAGAGTTTTAGCCAGCTAAAAGAAAAAAAAATGTAGCACAGTAACAAACATCATGTGCTTTCACCGACATTTATCCCCTAAAGAGGCAACTAAACCCAATCCAATGTTTAAGCTCAATCATCTGCTTCTCACATGACAGCCCGAATGCTATTATTTCCAAGTTTACAAGTTCATCATAGATGTGGAGCTATGCCGAAGATCCATGCATAAACAGAGAAGGGAACAACAGAATTTCCTGGCAAACGAGTGTTGAGGACAAATATCAACAAAACTGAACTAGTTTACTGATTCAATTTCCTTTCCATACACTCTTTGGCTATGCAAAGGGCCTTGGAAACCAGATTTATGCATGTTGTCTCCCCACTTTTACTTCCTTCCCCGTCTATGTGTCATACACAGGTCTCCCTGAGTAGTAATAGCTCCCACTCCTCTCTGCACCACATTTTTAGGAGGAACTAAACAGATGGTTTTCACCTTCCTGTCACTTATTATTTGCTATTTTGCTGGCCCTTGCCCCTGCGACCCCCTGCCCCTCAATCCTCATGTCCTCTCTATCTGCCCTCAATGATTGTTCATGCTAAAGAACATTCTGGATCCTTTGAAAGTTAAAAGAGGGTGATCCACGTTCAGTTCTCGGTGGTTCAGTCTCTTCAAATGAATAAGCTGACCTTCCCCCCCCCTCCCTTAGGAACTGTTGAAATAACAACAAAGCACTGGAGGAGAAGAAAAAAAATAAACACTGGCAGAAAAATAAGGAAATTCATCTCCCATTCCACCTATGAACCTTTTGCTAAATACAGTTTATTCCTGTATCACCTGGAGTGACAAGTAAATAACCATTATTGGATAGAAATCATTATACTATTAATTCTAACTACTCAGAATCCCAGTATCAACTCTGGGCGGGTAGTGTTTATATAACCAAAGGCCCCATCAGATGATCAGAGCAGGGATAATATAGAGATCACACCCAGTGGCAAATATTTATACAAGCCACAGGGGATAACCTCTGCACTGAAGTTTCAGGGCTGGAATTAACCCTTGATCTCCCAAAACTCTTTTGCCAGGAGCAAAGACTGGCAGAAAATTGGTTGCTTGCAGAAAATGTGAGCCCTTGATGTCTTCCAGACAACTGCAATATTTCTTTTAGCTTTATTTCAAAAATATCTAGCTTGCCATTCCTCTCCCCTGAAAGTTGGTTCAGAAGAGTAGAGAACTGCAATAGATTAATTACCATAAATAGTAGCAATGAAATCCCTGGCTATTATAATAACAGATATATCTCAGGAGGTTGCAAATTCATTTTATATTTCAATAATTATACCCTGTAGTCCCCAGATAAGACAGAGGCAGCCTTCAGAAAATACTGACCTATTTCATCCATAAAATTAGCTAATGAGAATTCTAGTATTTTATCCATGCCTGTAGAGTCAAATTAATGGGGTTAAAGATAATCTGATTAGTTGCATTCTGAAACTATAATCCACAGCTCTTATATGTGAGAGGTGGACTACTCTAAGGAAGTGAAAGAGTTGCTAAGAAAAACGAATGCAGGAGCTAGGCAGGCATTTACAGGAGTGAATTAGAAAGAAGGGGGGGAGGAATGCTTAACCCTAAATCTTAATTATTATGATGAAATATGTTACTTGTATACATGAATGTGTGTTTTATGTATACACATACACACTAGAAACAGGTAATCCTCATTTAGCAACTGCCTCACTAAGAAACCATTTGCAGTTACGAAGGAGATGAAAAAGTAATTTTACGATCAATCCTTGCATTTACAACCTGTGTAAAGCAAAGAAAAGCTGGCGATCATAAGCATGCCTGCAGTTTCATTTAGCGAATGTTTTGCTTAATAACCAAGTTGCCAATCCCAACTGTGGTCACTAAACAAGGATTACTCTCTCTCTGCCTCAGATCTATCTATCTATCTATCTATCTATCTATCTATCTATCTATCTATCTATCTACCTACCTACCTACCTACCTACCTACCTACCTACCTACCTACCTACCTACCCTCTCTTTCAGATCGATCCATCTATCTTGCACAGCTACATATGCAGGATCTTGTGACATTGAACCACGGATACATCGTAAAAATTTGCCACCCAAAAGATCACAGAGTCACAGCTCTGAAAGTGGTAGATTTTTTTTAATTACAGAGGAACCCAAACAAATTCATCAATGAAACTGGAATTGTATACAAATAAGAGACTGTTACTAAATTAGAATCTTTAAGCATTAGGTGAGCATTAAGGACAACACTGCAGCAAAGTTCAGTGAAGAAAATTAATTATAATGTTGGTATTTATAAGAGTCTGCCTAAAAATGCTGTGGCAGAAAAAAGACCGGGCATGATCTAAACACAAAACTGGAAACCACTCTTCAAGTGGTATTGAAGAGAACCATAGATGCAAAACTTCAGAAGAATTTGCAGATTGGGTTCAGAGTGAAGACTTGACCCATGGACCAATTAATGCATAAATAAATCTGCCATCATCTACTGACCTGAGTGTGATGGAAGCTGGCTTGGTTTGGGTTGAAGAAAAAAAGGGGAGGAAGAGAAAGCCTCCGGCTTGGCAGGAATTCTTGTTACCCCTCTAATTCCAGAATTAGCAAGGATTTTTTAACCCAGCCACTGGGGAATTTAGCAAATCAAAAGAAAACGAAGTTGTCATTTTGGGGATTGTCTAGCTCAGCGGTTCTCAACCTATGGGTCGGGACCCCATTTGGGGTCGATCGACCATTTCACGGGGGTCGCCAAGCAAGGCTGTCCACCATTTTTTTCCCCTTTTCCAGCAGGTGCCTTACCTCCCTTGGGCTGGGCCAGCTGGTGGTCGGCCTGCTCTGTCTCTGCCGCTTGCCAGGTACGCCTCGGCCGGCGCAGGGAGCGGAACCACGCATGCGTGGTGCTCCCGGGCAGGGAAAGTCCTCGACTTACAACCGGTTGGGTAGTCCTCGACTTACGACCGGTTTAGTCCTCGACTTATGACCGGTTTAGTCCTCGACTTACGACCGGTTTAGTCCTCGACTTACAACCGGTTGGGGGTCACGGCATTAAAAAGGTTGAGAACCACTGGTCTAGCTAGATTTGGGAAATCATCAATGAAGTGTCAGAGACAAAAAAGGAAAGAAGGGGTCTGCTTTTTCCTTTTCCTTCCTGGGCTGAAAAGAGGAAGAAAAAAAATTCTTAGCATAAAGCTGGTAATCATTTTTTTTGGGGGGGGGGAGAGGAAACTTTAGCTATACTATTGAGCAAGAGACTGTTCAAGCCACATACACCACAACATTTCAGGCTATCTCAGGAGAACTCAACAAACACAATGAGTTTTTAACACACTACAACTGTTAGGGGATAAGGCACTTGTAAATCTATCTCACGTGTAATTTGTTCCTGCATAACTGCCCTGTCTCCTCCCCCCCCCCCCGGCTTCATCTCAATTTAAATTCTAATCGGTTTAGCTATTCTGTGCATCCAGTGAAGTAATCTGCAGCTCCCAAAACATGTTTTTTTTTAATAAAAATGTGTTAGTTGGAAAAGGTGCTACTAGGTTCCTCCTAATTTGAGGGCATTATGGACTTTCCTCCTATATCCCTTAATGGCTATTCTGCACAAACTGACATGATTTTATTTGGCAACACCAATAGAGCATGACAAACTTGAATACTGGAATTACAGACTATTCCAATCAGTCAAGGTTTAGTCTATTTCTTTTAAATTCAACATCAAGAAAATAAGTACTGCATACAAGTTGTGGTTGCTTATAAATACACTATGAAGTACTATATAATTTATCCTTCCCTTAAACAGGATGACTGAAGTCAATATAGAGCTTCCTTGATGATTACTTGGACAATTTTGCATGCAATAATAGTAAGAAGATGCATTTAAAGGCCAAAGGTAGTTGCAGAGGTTCACTTACACTGTTTGACTTGTGTCTTGCTGAATTTTAATAATGGGGAGGCTTCTCTTGTTTCTTTGCCAAGCTGAAATGGAGCTCCTTTTTTCTACTGCATGCTATGTTTACCAAAGTATGTAGAAACTTCCACACACCATTCCCTTCTTCTCTGTCAATTCTCTGCTGCATGTAACCCCCTGGTATTACAATATCTGAAGGCACAAGTTCCTACTGAAATTAAGCGTGTCTCCTACTTTGAATTCCAACAGGGAAGAGAGGCAGAATATAAAATAATATATACATATACATTTAAAAAAACCTCCCCAAGCTGGACTCTGAAGTCCTCCCAATAGTTCAGCTTGGGGAGAACAGAAGCTAGAGGGGGGTGATTTATGAGGGAGAATCAACAAATGATGAATTGGCTAATCAGTCTTTCATCTCATCCATAAATTCATCTTCCAAATTGTGCTCCTCTATGTAATTTAAACAAACACAGGTTAGGAACACATATTTGCTGGAATAACATGTCATTCTTTCCACATTTACCCTGAGAAGCAAAAGCTGGCTTTCCCCGCTCTCGTCATGGGACTGGAAATATTTTGACAGCTCTGTTTGATTGGCAGCTGTTTTGCTGTCTCATCTTCTCAATCCTGATCCAAGAAATAAAAGCTAAGCAAGCAGTGATGTAGCTAACAGCTGCCAAGATACTGTTTATTTTGACAACCATTTAACTGGGATAGTATATTGGGGTAACTCTTTAGAGTATAGTACATTTCTTGCCAAAATAACAAACATGAGAAGGTCTTGCTGCTAAGAACAAGAGAAAAAGAAAGGTCAACAAAATTCCTTCTGGAGCTGGTTTTACTTTTATGAGATGCTAAGAAATGCCATAGAAGAGGCATAATCTTCAATAAACCAAGCAAGGCAGGGGAAGATTTAAGATCACCACAAGCCCCCAATTGTAGGCAATTATTGCAACTGATCCCT